GAGACTTCTCTGACAGCTCTGAAAACAGATCTCATTCCTGGCATATTAGCAGAGCCAAAAGCAACAGTTAGATCTCACCATTACCTACAGCTGATTTCCTAGCAAAAGCAATCGTTAAACACAATTCAACTTGGACTTTCAGTCTTCTGGGAAAATGACTTGTTCTTACGTCTAGCAGTAACAAGTGCATGGTTCATAGGCACACAAGAAAAATATGAGCACTGAAAAATGTTCTAACGTGCTAACAAGTCCTACACCTTACTGTCTAGTGTTCAATTACTGCTGTGTTCCTTGAGAGCATCCCTGTTGTCTCTCAGCATTCATTTTGTCAAGCTAGTAAATACCCTCCTTTCTAGTTTCCTCTCATAAGTTACGTTTGTGATTACTCCAGTCCTCCTTTCTCTGTGGCTGTTCTTACTTCCATGTCTCATGCTTTTACCTGACTGTGCCTGTACACAGACATACATCTATATATAGCCTCCTAGCTACCTTGAAAAATGGATGAAAACATTTGCTGACATTTGCTTTTTCCATACACATATCGTATTGATTTTTGACAGAAATTCTAAAAATTAGTATCTATATACAAGTACATTTCTCATTTACAAAGGATGGTCCTGAGTTTGTAGGAGAATTTCCCATTTCCTCTTTGCACTTTGTGTTATTTGCTCATTTCAATTATTTCAGACCTGTTGGTAGGGGGTTTTTTAATTATTTCTGTCAAAGTCCAGCCTTTTTTTCTTGTGCTGTTGCTGTTTAACCTTGTATTATCCGCTCATATTATTAGTATACAAGACTATTACAAAGCTACTACTTAATTAGTGGTCACAAGATCAGTTCCAAGGGAATCTCACTACTCACTGCCTCCAGATGAATGCCTCCTCATCCAGCATAGCCTATTTTAACAGCAGAACATTGATTTAAATATGCATTTGTAATGGCATGGTATCTTCCCGCAGTCAAGTCTTTGGTGTGGTTACAGTAATTAAGACCTCTCAGATACCAAGTACCTCTATAGCCTACAGCACATCATCCACCACTTTCAGAGCACAGTGAAATACATGAGCTGTGAAGCATCTCTCAGAAATACACCATTAATCAGTCTGTACCTGTAAGCGTGGTAATATCCATAATAGTTTGTACTTGCACACAGCAGGGCTGTGTCTGATGCAGCTTCCCCTCACAAGGCCTGATCCTGACCCCTACCCATGGGCTGACGTCTCAGCCTGTCCTTGGTTGGCTCCCATCTCCAAGGAGATGCCTGATATCCAGGACTGCCCCTTTTTCCCCTGGCTGCTCAGAATTCCTAACTGGAGACCTGGGATAGGCTCTGGATGGTGAGGTCCTGCCCTATGACCTCAGGGGACCACCACATCTCCTGTCATCAGGGAATCAGTGGTCCTCACAGTGTCCTAGCAACTACTGAAGTTGAGATGCACCTCTTTGGTGTCAACTGCTTTGCCTGTTTCTGTTTCAACATGTGTTGTGTTTGTCCATATGTGTTTTCCATGGATCTGATATTACATAATCATTTTTATTGCCCACAGTTCTGTTTACCACCTAAGCCAGAGGTATGAATGGAACCATCTACTTGCTACATTTCATGTCAGCTGGTGTTTGGAAGTGAAAAATTGTATTTTGTTGGAATTAATTCTTTTACTCATTTTATCTGTTCTATATCCATATAAATATGAATATACTAGCAGCTTTTCCCATTATCTTTTAGAAATACCATGAGCTATTTTGTGTAAAGTTTTATAGTAAGAGAACAGTGAAATCTAAGCAGGGAAGAAATCAGTCATTTAAAAAACAATAAATTGAAGTGTGCATTTAGGTCTGGATGCAAATCGGGTAAAATATCACCATGGTTCATGTGGTAGTGGTGAAGAAATTGGAATACTTTCAGTATAAGCCAGACAAGACGTTTTGTGCATGGGGAATGGTATGAATTCACAGCTCCCATGTTAGTATAACATACAGGTCTGTCTAGCAAATAGTCATTGCACACAAACACGAATATTATGTGCTCACAACCACACATGTTCCTGTTTCTGAGGAAATAAAAATGGGAAAATTTTTTGGTCTGGACTAAGTGGCCAATACTGAGACCAAATTTAAAGGTAAAGGATTGAAATTGTCAGGATATAGGATGTAAGTTCATTTGCATTGAAACCTCTTAAAATCGCATGATTGAATGGTAACATTATGTCCTATCACCTTTGCATTGTTCAAGTGGAAAAGAGAAAGTTATGTTATAGATAGCCTTGGCTCCATCAGAGATGGCTGCAAAATAGCCCTGTTCACCTCTGGGGAGGCAGCAAATGAAAGGTTATGTTAGAAACTGTACACCAGTGATAACACGCTTTTGGACTTAGTCCGTAGATTCTCAACCCAAGTCTAGGACAGAGGTGGGATTTTACCAGGTCAGAGATTAAGGAAATACCAGTTCCCTAGGCTGCTCCTGCCATTAAGGGAGGGATCTGGAGCCCAGTGCCATGCTAGCAAATTTTACAAGGGGGAGAAGCTGCAACGGCAGGAATTGGGGATGCTAGTCAATCTGTATTTTCACCTATCATGTATGATAGCAAGGCAAGAAAGGAAAAGGAACTCTGCCTGTTTGTATGTTTTTGCTCTGTTTCAGTTCTACAAGTGTGGCGAGCCAACATCCTTTGCAAGCAAGAATCTGCCTCAGGTTTGGTAGTGGATTATTTTCTTTGAAGAGGGAGTCAAAAAATATTTATATCCATTTGCAAATATAAGCTAAAAGCCAATTGCTAGCACGTTCAACAGCACTTTAGACAGCTGCTTCAAATGTGATCCATTCATTAACCAGTGGAAGGAGCATAAAAAACTCTAGAGAAAGTTTTATGGTTATCTGACAGGCTGAATGTATGGCAGTAGCTGTAAAAGACCCCAAAAAACTGAGAAAAGTTGGTGGATTTCAAGTCAGAACACTCATCTGTTGCTCCAAAATTACCTTTTTTGCTATACCATATATTACATATGGTAACTCTGGCAAATACCTAGTTAGTGGATGTGCAAGTAAATTTTTGCGGGCATGCAGTAGGATATTAGTAAACCTCATTTCTAACTTGTTAAGTAAAATAAAATGGGTGACAGGCAATCCATCCCTTTCTGTATGGCAGTTGACTTCAGGGACATGCTCCAATCAAAACCCCAGTCTGCATCCCACCCTTCCTCTGCCCTTCAGAGAGCAGACTCCTTAGACCTTGCAATACCCTCCCAAAGAAGAAAAATAAGCTTAAACTGCCACTGACTGACACAGAGATCAGTCAGTTCACATTACTAATTTCCCAGAGATCTAAAGATGTGAGGGTCAAATCAAAATCACTGCAATACCGAATGCAGCAGCAGACAATTTTACAAAAATGAGAGTGCTCATACATTTGTTCAGGTTTTTTGCTTCTCAGTCACATCAATAAAACCCTAGACTTCTTTTCTTCCCCCTTTGCTTTTATTTGCTTCCCCCTGTCCCTCATATAGCAGGTACAGGTGTTTTGGATACAGATTGTGTGCTGGTTACGTAATTATGAACAGGGAAGCTAGCATTATGCTAATATAGTAAAAGTCTATGACACTGTCAGTGTCTCCATTAAACTACTATGGTAAATAAAGTAGTATAGGACTTTTTTATGGACCTCTTTATCTTGCGTACTTTTTTCCCTCCTCATATTATCTATATCCCCATAGAGAGAATAGTTGCCTACTATGAAAGAATTCACAAGGCTGGAGGTTTTATTACCATTTGAATAGCCAGAAACATTAAGACATCATTGGTGACAAGAGTAACAACTAGCCAAAGCAGGAGAGAAGTAATATTTTTCCATTATCTCTTTATTTTCATTTAAGTTTTCTGTCTTGAAATGAGAAATGAACAGTTCTTTTCTATCTTGAAAATGTTTCACAGTATTCATTCTTCAGCCTTACTCAAAGACTTATCTAAGGATATACTCCTTAATCCTATATATTTGCTCAAATAAGTACACCTTCACTGAAATACATGGAATATTATAATTGTATAAAATTAATCTACCTATCTATATTCATAATGGAATGTTAAGTGAGTAATGTTATTACAGTTGAGTAAGTCAGCACTAGGAAAAAATGTTTCTGATTTATTTTGCTATTTTTCCCAGCCTGAGTACTGGGCAGCCCATTCCTCAAATTTATTGTTGCTTGATGAAGAATACAACGGGTGAACAAATCTTGAAAGCCAATTCTGCAGCTATTTAACTTTACACTTTTGAGTGGGTTGCTGACAGCTTGTTAAGCATCAGAATAAGACTGCAGAGTCCTAGTCTGGAGCTGCTGTTAAGTGACTCATTAAGAACATTTAACAGTCAGAATTTAGACTGTTCTTTAACACTGACTGATATAAAGCATATGATTTTTTTGTTTTAACGAACACAAGTGTATTCCAAAGTCTACAACTCAAAATAGCAAATAGAAAATTGCTTTCTGAATACATTTTATTTTTAGCAAACCCAATACTATTCACCTGAAGACTTTCCTCTGTAAATTCCCTCAGATACAACTTGCTTGATATGGAAAACCTTGCCTGGGAGAACTTTATCAGAGAAAAAGAACATTAAGCTCTAATTGCCAAGAAGCATTACGGTGATTCAAAGAAGAGTCAGCTTAACATTGTCTCATCAAAAAGTTAATATCTAATTTTGACTGAAATATTTTGACTAAGAAAAGTAATTTTTTACTTTTTTTTTTTTACACATCTTTATTTTTTACTTTTCCAAATTATGAGTTTTCCAAGTATAATGTTTTATTAAATTGTTTTCCTAGACAACAGAGTGGCAGAAGATATTGAGATTTTGATGAAATGCAGAGTAATACACAAGGGAAACTTCCCATATAAGCAGAAATAAATTATGATGGTTTCTAAATTAGCTATCATCATTCAGAAAATATTTGACTGCTTCTCTGAAAACACTAGCACAATGATTTGCAATTATCATAAAGGCAAATTTAGTGTTCAAAGCTGTTAGGAATTGTATGGGGAACAACATAGAAAGTATCTTTGCACTGTTTTCTAAATCTCACGTGCTCAGATGCTCATGCTCACATCTTGAACAAAATCCAATTCAATCTATTTGGAAACAGTATGGTGTAGTTTTAAAGTCATAGTAAGGGTGATTAGAAATACAGAACAGATTCCATGTACATATAGCCTCTAGCTCTTAATTTTGGAAAAAGCAGGACTGAAGGAAGTCACCAAAGAGGTCCACACAATCTTAACTAGCAGACAAGCAGTAGTTCCAAGCTATTTTGAGTGTAAGAACTAGAGGTGCCCCAATGTTTTTAATAAAAAGAGCAACAAATAAAATTGCTTTTACACAACTTACAAATAAATTGCAAAACTCATTATTGCAAGATGTAGAGGTGAGTGAGAGTTTAAACATATTCAAAACAGTTTCAGAAAACTCCTGGGGAAAAATCTGCTGGTGTGGTGTTAAATGTGGTGGAAATGGTAAAACATATCCCATTTGGCAATTGTAAAGAAGGTGGCTAAGGGCAATGAAGAAGAATCACTCTCTCTACTATCCGTTTCTTATGTTCATCCTAAAAAATTGCAGCTGAATCCTGTAGGAAGGAACATTTGGGGCTTCACAGACTTTTGATGTGACCCAGAATGCCACTTCATAGATCCTTAAGAAATACAGGATCCTTAAGAAATATCTTCAGGGTTTTTTTTGAGACCCAAATTGAATTAATCTCTTCACGACTAGTATACTTGTTATAATAATTCATTCTTATACAATTTTGTGATCTCTATTATGATGACAGAAAAATTACGACTGATCAAAGTACTTCCTATAGCCAAGATTTCAAAACACTGCAGTTGTAAAAACAATAATCTAAAATTCAGCAACAACCTTGGTGAACACTGTATTTAAAGCTGCTGATAAAACAGGCTTATTAATTATTGCACATGTTTTACAAGAGTTTGGTCCTGGAGCCATCAGTTCATTGCACAAGACATTTTTAATAAATTCAACTTCCTTTGCAGAGTGGTTTTGCATTTCTTAAACATATTTGAAGTCTGAAAATGGGTAGAATTCCCTAGTTTGTGTGACTGTAAATTTAAGCAATGGTCTGTGATAGTTGCTGTCTCTTCATTCCTTTCATAAGCCAGATTGCTGAAATCAGAAACCTCTGGATACTCTAGTGTTCTATGAGATGTGTTTTGTCTCTTTTCCCTCAGTCAGTGACTGTGAATCAGCTTTTCAGACGGAGTAAACAATACTTCATTGGTATCAGTGATGCTACAAGAGTTTATACCAGCTGGGATTCTGATCTTTCCAGTTCAGATGGAAAAGGGAGATTATAGAGACAGCAGTTGTCCCTTATCCTTTTTCGATGAGTTTTTGAAACACTAACGTTGCTATTAACAGAATTTGCTATAAGCTTGGTAAAGATGAACTGCAGTCACATCAGCTTCTCCCAGTGCTGACACAGCTTCTCCATGCAAACTTCATTTACACAGGGCCCAGGGAAAGGCAGGCATAAAACAATTGTGACACTCTTCTGCTTTGAGTCATTTTTGTTGCTGTCAAACTGTAAAGAAGAAGAGAAGACTGGAGGAAGCTCATACAAGAAAATTTTGGCCCATTTTTGCTACAGGCTCTGTTTGTTCAAGTTTCTTCACATAAAGGGTTTCTCTGGAATAGCTTACATGAAGCAGAAAGTTTCCTGAAAGTTGGGATTTGAATTATCTATATAATGCACTGGTACAAATATTTTACCCCATGTATACCCTGCAGTCACTGGTTCCATAACAGATTTGAAGTCCATTGTACTGGCACAAGGGTTTTACAGGCTTTTGTTGCTCTTCTGTACACAAATTGTTTTCAAGTCACCAAAACCAGCAAGAAAAATATTCAAACTACTCCCTCTTTCACTCCTCCCTCCCTCCAAAAAACCAACACCAACCCAGTAATTTTGACTTTCCAAAATATCCAGACCATCAGGGGCTGCAGTTTGGAAATGTGTATGTTTAAAACTTCTCCCAGTGGGAACCATTTTTTCCAAATGTTGAGAGCAGAGGAAAAGCAAATCCCAACTACCTCCTGTTCTCTTCTAGTCCTGAAAAGCAAGGTTAAATACTTGGAGCAGTCTTCCGAAAAGCTGAAAAGTGTCAGATTCTAAGAGTTCCCTAGAATTGTTACTGACATCTTGCATTTGAGGATTTCCAACCTTTCACATTGAATTAAACATAGTGGGAGCTAAGGGCAGCCAGGAACTCTGAAGAAATCTTCAATGGCTAGGAGCTATGGGCTGCATTTACAAAGGTCTCAAGTTGCCTTAAAATGCTGGTGCATATCTGGCCAGAAGCAAGTAGGCACTCAACAAATCAGGATGTGCAGGAAACCCCTCACAATGTACCCGTGCATAAGTTTAAAGACTAAAGTTAAAAATCTATTTTCTACCATGGTAACATCCTAATCTTCCCTATGACATGGGGATACTTTTCCCAGATGGTGAAGGGAATGACTGAGGAACTCCTCCTTCAAGGTGCTGAATACCCTTGCTTCCCGCTAAAGTCTCTTTAGAGAGAGGAAAATTCAACAGGCAAATTCAGCAAATGCCAAATTGTGAAAGCAACTGGAGCCAATGTGATCTTTCCGGAAAGAAAAAATTCAGTGTTAACCTATCTATAAATTCAAAGCACTACTTAATAATAGATTTATTCACAGTTTACAGTGAGGAATTGTTAGTGGGTAGGGGACAGAAGCATCTGGCAGCAGCTTTTATCTTTACCGAGTCTTTTTTACTCAAATGCTGCCAAAATACAGTTCTTTTACTGGCCTGTTAGTGTTTGCAAAATGGCAATCAGGTGGTTCATTCCATCCACAGGTCTTATGCCTTTCCCTTTTCTAATATTCCTGTGCTCTGCATAGTGAGAAATTGATCTAATAACTTCTTCTCAGATTTGTCCCTTTTTTTTGTCCAGACATTGGCATTTGATCCTGCTGTTCTCATCCTCATTTAAAAAGACAAGATTTTATCTCCTGCAACATTTTTGCATACTCTTTGATTTAGTATAAGCAATGTGAGGAAGAGTAGAGGAAAGGAAAACTCATATGTCTGTTGCACCAAATGGCACCCCAAATGATCTTCGAATATCCTTACCAGGCCTTATTCAAGAATAAGTGTGTGAAGTGATGAATACTATAATACCATAAAGGCTGTCTTTTGCATAACTGCCTGGCTGCCTTGCAACCCCATGCATCTCAGGAGTTGGAGCACAGGCCCAGGATTTCACCATCTTTTCTAGGAGAGGGATCCCAGATATGGTGCAGCAAGGACACCACTGTTAGGAGTTTCTGACTGGATAATTTCAGTGCCAAAAAGTCTTTTATTTTTTTCCTCTCCCTCTTGCACCCTCTAAATGATGCAAAGAAGGACTGTTTCAGAAAAAATCCTTTGAAACCTGAGGCAATAAAAATAAGGCTAAGATATGTCAAACAAGAAAAAGAAAGTAAGAGTACACTGCATCAACTAGGAAAAAGGGATAGGCACCACTGAAAAATCTCTTTGCTGTATGTTTGGTTTTGTAAAAATAATCATTTAAAATGTGTGCTTTCTAGGTTTTTCACATATACTTATTACAATTCCATATTTTATTCAAAGTTCTCTTTTCACTTTCCATAGGAGTGTCATATTATGTAATACACATGCTACATACACAAACACACAAAGATTGTGAGGTCAAAGCAACCAAAATTCCAGAAAATACTGGTTAGGGTTTCCCGCACAATTTTAACATGGAACACATTAGGGCATATTTCCAATTATATTTCCACATATTATCCACAGCTTTACTCATCCAGTTTCTATTTTCTCTTCTTTTCCTTCCCTTACTACTTCTACTTTCAATTTTTCCTTTTGTTTCCTTAACATATATTTGATATTTACACCACCTTGCTGTAGTAGTCCCTTTAGAATCTCTGTCACCTCCTTCTCATTCTGCCTTTCTTGTAACCTTAAGGAGAGTATACATATTTTCTTGTAGTTTGTAGCTAATCCATCCATGTAGTGAATAATAAAAACACAAAAGCAGAGAAAAAAATCAAAGCCAGATAGATACAGTCTCTTGTATTTTTCCTCAAACTGAAAATTATTTTACTCAATTAAAAAATTAGAAAGGAAAAAGAAAGATGTTATTGGCACTCCAGAAAAACTTTTAGGAAAGTTATGGTTTGAATGAAGAGAGATTTGTGGATGGAAACTACCCAGAGACATTAGTTTTAGTATTTTTGACCAGCATTTCCTCTATAAGACACTCAGCTCACATCTCAAACTGATTTGAACATAAGAAGCTGAAGATCATCAATCAGATTAAGATGTTTTGGAAGTGAATTTAAAATAGGATATTTTGGGGATATCTATACTGCATTTAGACACATTAATAATATACTCTCTCTGTCTTGGGAAAATATCCTCCCATTCTGTTATATAAAGACTCCTAAGACTCATAATACTGTATTTTACTTCAAAGGTGTATCCTCCTACCCCTTTTGAATGAGGCTGATTTTGAGACCCATGCTATGTTAGTTCCTATCCATGCAACATATACAGGTAGTATAAAGGCTGAACAGGTGCCAATATTAAGCAATATGCCTCAGATGGGATGGTCTCAACCTATTGTGAATAATTTTTTTATAACTGTTATGAAAAGACTGTGGGTAAGTCCATTAAATAGGCTTTTAAAATTATGACTCAGCTTCTTTAAAGACCATTTTCCAAGACTGTGTTTTCTCTCTCTTTTTTAGGATCTAAATATTGCCACCCTCTGTTCATCGCCAAAGTAGCATAATCACATTGGAAGGCTTCCCCATACTGTAGATCCTCAGGGATCTCACTCCTTATCGGAGGAGGCCAGCACGATGTGTCTTAGAAGGGAAGATGTTCCACACACTATTCTCCACTTGGATTCCGTAAGGGCTTTCTGCTGATGAACAGAATAGAATCACAATAGACTTTGTAATTAAATATTTATTATTATTGTTACTATTTCTTTGGCTAATATTAGCATCCAGAAGCCTGAAATATGTACTTGAAGTTGCACAAGTTCAAAATAAGACTCTGTCTTGGAAAGGTTAAGTATGTATGACAAAAAAATACATACTTATGTCTTATAAGAATGTTCTTATTTCATGGGTAAGGAGATGAAACTCTATAAGAATAAATTCAGATTTCTAAGGGTTCTTTGACATCTAAAGACACAAGAGAATTGGTCAAAATTCAATGGTTCATCACAACCACTGACATCCTCTTCCTCTTTAGGTGTCTGCATAGATTTGAACTACTGTCTATAAGTTTGGGTTCATCTCCCTTAATATTACCCATTTAGAAATGAGTGTGCAGGAGAAGCTCTCTCCCTGTCTTCCTGCTATAGGCTATAAAGACAGACAGATACCTTCATTGGCTGATTCAGGCAGTACTGTGTTGTTCAGCAGAAAATGACTTGTAGTTCCCATTATCTGTAGAGGTTTGTCAAATATAAAGTAACAGATCACACCTGCAGCCTACAAATTCCAAACTGATGGCTCATTTCGTAAAAAAAAATTCAGTAGCTTTCCTATGGATACAGTAGCATGGTGACTCCACTCTCTAAACTACAAAGATAGGCAAAAAAATTGGTTTCAAGAACTCAGACTCCCAGCTTTATAAATCACCAAGAAATTTGTGGTGTCTAAGCTCATGTGGAGACAAAAGAGCAAATAAAGCAGAGGCTGCACTAACCCCTTAGCCACATACGAGGAAAAAGTCCAGTGAAATATTTGGCTTTAATCTCAGTATGATGCTATCATGTATTTAGTTAGTAATTATAAACCTCAACTGTCAAATGCTCTGGGAAATAGGGTTGGAGGGGCTACCAAATAATCTCTTCCAAACTTCATCTGTGATCCCATGGAAAAAACATGTATTTTCCCATGGGTCATGATCAAAACTTAATCTACAGCTATTTGTAGCTTCTGCTAGGATTTGGATGTAGCTCCTAGTCCAGGTGCTGGGGCTCCTGCTGAGGGTTGCTTGCTCAGTGTCACAGCTTCCTCCAATAGCAGCCTTATCAGCAGAAACTGTGACTGATTTCATTGTAGTTGATGCTGTATGTTTATTTTCTGTAAAGAAGGAGCCATTTGTCTTAACCTAGCTCAGTTGAACAATAGGCACCACAATTGCAGTTTGAAGCATATCATGCAGAGAGGATGGAATACTTTGCCTGCACCACAGAAAAGGACCTCTCCTTAAAGATAACTTCAGGCATATCACCAATAACCTGGTTAAAACCATCTTAAAAGGAAGGTCACCACAGTCCTTATTGGACAGAGCAAATTACTCCAGTGTATTTTTCTTTCAGCTATGATTTTGTGCACTGACCTTTGGAAAGCCTGGTCAAATAGCCTTTAGCAGCAGTTGTAAAGCATGGACAGTGCTTTCATTAGGCAGCTCTGTATAAATTAGCATTACTTGTTGGGGGGTATGCAGCCAACAGTACTGAAAAGACGTGTGACTTGTTCATCCTGTGTGCAGCACAGCATTCGATGTAAGTGAAGAGAAGACTTCCCGCCTCTCTGCAGAGACACAGCTGCCCTTCTGTGCCCTGCTGCAGATGTGAGATGTTGCAGAGTCAGGACCTGTGTGGGATGGTTTAGGGTTCTTTTGGAAGAGACCATGCAGACATGAAAGGGAGAGATTAGCAGTCATGGACTCTTATGAAACTACTCAGATTTAGCCCAGCTAAAGATCTCATTCACTGTCAGATTTTGCACTCTCAAGTAAAAAGCACCTCAGTTCGAGCTCCTTTCAAGTAAAGGGAGCAAGCAACAGTGAAGTTCCTTGTAAACTCCTAGGAGCCTTCAGCATCTCTCCATCATCTCTCCAGCACAGGGAAAATTTACCCCAAGTTTGGCTCTTCAGGCTGTTTTTTCTTCTTTCAGATCACTAGGTTTAGGCATAGGAAGGGTTTAGATGTTGGCAAGTGCCTTTCTCATGATAACCACAACTATCAAAGCAGAAAGCTTGTTGGGCACATCCTAAACATCTTTAGAGATTAGTTTTACCTGATTTTTTTCTAAGATTATTCCCCAGCTGAATCACATCCACTAAGACTGTTAGTGCTGTGCTGGTAAAAAAATGTACTCTGCATAGCTGATCTCCCACCATATAAATATCTGTAAACCTTTAAACACCCTGAAACCGCTTAGCAGTTTCAGATGGATTAGCATTCAGGGTCACTTTTAGTTTTCATGGACCAGTTTGCTAATCTCCCATGAGAATAGTTAGCTCAGTCTGAACCTCAGAGAAAGGGGAAAAGAATGAAGGATTAACAATAAGAATAAAATTAATAGAGAAAAGCTTATGCAATGAATTATAAACAACCTGTCAGCTGCAGCAACACTAGAAGGGTTACTAAAATTATGGAAGAGAAAAAAAGCATGGTTCTGGAGCAAGCATTAAAAATTCACATTTCAGCTGCAATCCTGACACTCAAACTTGTCTAACTCCTTTATGTGATCCTCTAAGTCTGTTCCCTTCTATACTTCAACAAAACAGTAGGAACTAGCAGATGGGAGAGTTGTACTCTGGTACATAGTCCCTTCCCTTGATCGCATTTAAGGAGCTGATGGCTGTCAGTCCCCGCAAAGAAAGTTTGCAAGGCTCAGGAGTGTGTTTTTTCTTCAGCAGCATTGACTGGAAACGCCCTACATACTTCCTCCAGTGGTTTGAATATCATCACTTGGAGCCTTGCTATCGATACATGTAAAAATGATATCTCAAAAGGTAGCTTGACATATTTTATGCTACTAAAGAAGAAACAATTTACATTCTCTGCTTTAATTCCCCAGTGTCAAACTTGATCCATGATTTAAAGTAGTGTAATGACAGTAGAATGATCTTCCTTACATATTTATGCTTGTTTTTAGGACAAACTTTAAAATGCTGGGTGCTGTACTTGCTCTTGCTCTTTCAATTCAATTTTGATGTGATAGTGACAGATGGAGCAGATACTCTGACACAAAACCTGGGCAAATGCAAACTTCACACTGTAAGTTCACTTAAGCACCAAAGTATGGCCAAGGGAGAAATCTCTCTTCTTCCCATTTCTGTGGATGGGGAAGCAGGAGCACCTGGGGCTGAAATGGGGACAAAGTGAACTGGGTCCCAGCCTCTGCATTTAGGTGAGAAGGTGACCAAGGAGCTTGGGCTCATCCCAGTCTTTGGCTGCAGGACATATTATAATCTTCTTACCTCAATATTCTGTAGCTTGCCTTGATCTTTTCTCAATGTGTCTTTGAATTTTCATGGGTTAGCTATTGTAAGACAGGAATTAAATCAATGTTCTTTAACTTAAATTTCAGTTTGGATCCATTTGCAACTGAGACCTTTCCATTTAATTCCAGTCCGAGATCCACAAAGCTGTCCAGAACTGTTAAGGTTCTCTTCCGTTTCAGGAAAAAAATCATCAGTTTTAATTAGTTTAGTCTGAGGCTTATCACTGACTTTTTAACGACAGTTTTGATTCAGGTTCGGTTTGGGAAATGAGTAATAGTTCAGCTTTTCCTTGAGAGGTGGGCTTACCACATACTCTCAGTATTAAGCAGTATTCTTGCATTATTACAGATTTGTCTTAGCAAAATCTCATTAGCAGTCCTCTGTCATACTAGAACATGTCTCAAGTATAGTTTCAGAGAGTCTAGTACTATCCTGCTGTCTGTACTTCCTTTCATAGACCCAATGATGGAATTGAGTGCACTTACTAAACGTGCAGACAGCATAAAACTGAGGGGGGCTGCAGCACTCCAGAAAACACTAACAGAATACAAAGTGATCTTTGCAAAAACGAAAATCAGTCTGGAACTAAAAAGTTATCATGCGAGAAACTGAAGTCCAAGGTACTCCTTCAAGTTACGCAGGAACACTTCTCTTCAAACAGAACAGAGAACAGATGTCCAAGTGTTCATCCTACAAGAAACATTTTTAAGAGCACAGTGGGTCACAAAGTGAATTTTAATCATTTGTGACATATTATGGAAATCAAAAGTTCCCAAACTCTAATGTCACCATTTGGTGTATGGAAAAGGAAATTTCTTATGACATTGAAAATAATCCTTCTATTCATAAGACCTCAGCTGGGATACTGGTTCTGGTTTCAGGCATAGGATTTCAAGAAGAGTATGGAATAATTGGTCTGAGAAGACTGATGAGAATCAGAAGGCCAAAGGTGGAGTGCAAAAACATCCTGCAAGGAATAAAGTATTAATCTGTCTGTGCATCTGGTGGATAGAGACAGGAGTTAATGCATTAGGAACTAAGGGAAATTTTCTAACTGTAAGGCTAATAAGGGCTGGAGAAGTTTACCATAACAAACAGTTCTATTTTTTCCCTGAATTTCTTGAAGAACATTTAACACAAATGCCTGACAGGGATGCTTTGGGTATAGCTGATTCTGCTTTGGAGTTAAAGGATGGGTTAAGATGACCTCTTGAGATGGCTTCCAGCTCCCTCTTAGCTCTAGTCTCTGTTCATTCCACCATTTCTATGTACCTACAGCAGTATATCTGAAGGCAATTAAAAGATTAAGAAGCACATTTTGTATTTTTTCCTCCTAAAACTAGCAAATTAATGATACTAATAAAAATGGTTTGCTCACCACAGTCCCTTAGTGTGCTCTAATTACAACATTCTGAAATATTTGTGCTTCATATGGGAGCTCTGTTCACTACTAAGATCCAAACTTGTGTCATCTGCTTTTTCATAGCTAATTCTGCAGGCAGCAGTAGGAACAAAACCAAGTCCAACCTTCATGAGACCAACAGCAAAGGAAATGAGAGCTCAGCCATTAGTTTTCTTGGCATAAATAAGTATATATTTTCCTCAGACTAGCAAAAGTAATCATGGATACAAGATACACAGCTATTAGTCTGCCTAGCCTTAGCTTGCATTGCCCTTTACCAAGTGTCACTGA